TATACATCTTTAGACATCATTGTTTTCGACGATGAGCCCCCTTCAAAAGCAAAAGGGGCCGAAATCATTGCAGCCGAGCTCGAAGGGGCTCAGGCTCAAGTCGAGACAAAAATGATCCCTGCCATGCTTGCTTAGTTGGCTCATTAACAAGACAAAGAGTCAGCCTTTGAGGAGGCACTTCCTACCTAGGGGGATAGTATTGAGTGGCCTTTCCCCCCACCGTATTAATGAACTTCTAGCAGAGGTGGGGGGAGTTGAGAAAGCTATTAATGGAGATGTCTGAAGTCGGCTCTAGATATGAAAGGGAGCCATCAGAGAAGAATTGATTCATCCTCAGGCAAAATCTCTATATAAGGGGGTCGATCCTGGAATCCAAGACGACTCAAGCTAGGGCCTTGGATAAGTTTCTGCTAACTAAGGATGACAAGATCCTTTTAGCTATGCCCGACTATGGTCTCCACCCGACTCTGAGGAGTTATTTACTTTTAGGAGCTTTGATGGAGCAAGAGCCATTTGAGCACTTTGAACACATCCGTGAGATTTACTTCAAGCTCTAGGAAAAATTAGAAGGCAAGAAGGCGGCTCGGGAGGTGGCAAACCTAAAGTTGGCTTCTAATGGAGACAAGTTGGTCTGTTGGAAGAGAGGCTAAGGCAAACTAGAACGAGGAGTCAATATCCGAGATGAAAAAATAAAGGTCTTGCTAAACTCAAACAGCAAGAAATCATCCCAAATAAAGAAGCTTCAAGAAGACCTCAGTCACCTCGATCACGAGCTTCGTGAGCGTGATGACACGATAAGGTATCTGAAGGAGGAGATGGAGGTCAAAAGATGGGAGAGTGTTGATGCCTTCAAGTAGGCTCGAGTGGCTTGCCATAATGCGCAAGGGCTGAGGGATCGATTGAAGGAGGAGGAGACCACTCATGAGAAGTTGAGAAAGGAGTTGGAGCGAGACCGTGAGTCATTATGTGTAGAGAAGTAGGATATGCAGCATCGCGTTGATGATTTGAACTTGGAAGATTATCGCTATCAAATCATTGAGAGTATTGCCATGGTACCTTTGGGAAGGTAGAGGTGGCGTTGGCATGTAAAGCTAAATTTGACTTCATGAGGGCGCAGCTTTCATCCGATCTCAAGCTTCATCTTGAGTGGTTCCACTATCCTCCTCGAGTGGCTTACTTCCTTAGCACTTTGCAGGAGTTAGAGAAGAGAGGAGGAGGGCATGTTCTCAAGGTTTAGAATAGAGATGAGGATGATGAAGAGTCGGCTCAAGGAATAAGTGAGGACTCGGCTCATGATAGCAGGGTGAGCCGGCCCAAAGAGGAGGGTGACCAAGTGGTCAGGTTCGAGCCTCAGCAGTCTCCTTCGTCGACTTCTACTACTATTGTACCTCCATTCTCGAGTTCTATTGTGACTCCTAGTATTGCTTCGGCCCCATGTTCTGCTCAAGCTTTGGCCTCGACCCCAAATCAGGGTTTGGCCCCCGATCTAAGTTTGGCTCCTTAGGAAATTTAATGTATCTCCTTCTTTTTTCTAAATACTTTTTTATTGTAAGTACTTTGAATATATGAATGAAAAAAGGTTCACTTTTATAATTTGAATTGTGTGGCTTTATGATTGCATCCTCATACGTTTAAGCATCCATAATCTTCTTTGACTGAGTATAAGCTCGGCTTTAAATTTTAGGGGTGTTTTGAGTGGACGCCAGTGCTTTGAGAAACTCTTAGGTTGAGGCGACTCGGCTTTGTGCCTTGGTTTTATTCTGAAAGGATACAAAGGTCTTACCAGTTGGAGTCGGATAAATTGATGATGTGCCTTGGGTTTATTCATGTAGATGATACTAAGGTTCTTAAGTTAAAGACGACCGAGTTGATGATGACTCGACTTTTGCCTTGGTTTTATCCAAGAGGTTACTGAGGTCCTTGGTTGCCTTGGGTTTATTCATGAAAATGACACTAAGTTCTTAGAGTCGATGACGACTGAGTTGATGACGACCGTGGATGATGATGAGTTAATGACGACTCGACTTTAAGCCTTGGTTTTACTCTGAAAGGATACCGAGGTATTTCGTTGACTTGGGTTTTTTCATGAAAATGACAACAAGGTCTTAGAGTCAATGACGACCGAGTTGATGAAGACTCAGCTTCATGCCTTAAGTTTATTTCGAGAGGATACCAAGGTCTTAGGTTGCCTTGGGTTTATTCATGAAAATAACACTAAGACCTTAGGTACGTGCCTTGGGCATATTTATGAGAATGACGCCAAGATCTTAGAGTCTTCATTGCTGAGTCGATGAAGATCGAGCGATAAGAGTTGCATAAAGGTTAGTACACAATACAAAATATTTCTTATTTACAGAAGGGTCTTTACAGTTTAATTACATCTTGTGGAAATATTCTCCGAAATGTTTTACGTTTTATGACAACCCTACCATTTACTTAGCTTTGCTCTTCATTTAACTTTTGATGGAATTTCTTAACTGTCATAGCGTTTAAGCGGTAGTGGCAGCTTCTTATTCCATAGTTCGAAGATAGGGGGATCAACCATTTCCTTAAAAAGAGATGAAGAGGCCCTATGGAAAGTGCCAAAATGTTAATGTTAGATATCAAACATGGAGATTTAGCATGGATTATGGAGAGTTTTAGGGTCCCCTGATCTCCTTTGATGGTTGATTCCCTGATAGGAAGAGATTCCTACATACATGCAACACGTTAGAGGACAGGAGTTGGGTTCTCCTGTGGTTCCTTCGATGATGAAGTTAGTTCTGGTCTGAAGGGGAGAAAGGAACCGATATAATTTTCTTTAAGTATATAGAAATTGTGTACCTTTGGTCAGTAGGTGATGTGCCTATTTATACCGAGCTGACGAAAGTATTTATGTAATCTTGACCAAGTCCATTTAATTAGCTTATTCGGCTAGTACTTTATAGGTGTCGGTTGTAGGTGGTATGAGTCACCCTTATGATTAATGCAATGGTGATAGGGGGAGTAAGGTGTTGACAAGGTCCGGTGAGTCATAAGATTTTCGGTAGAGATGTAATGATGACTCTGACCATGTATTTAATGTGATGGTGATTAACTGTCGGCAAGAGGTTCGAGAATGACCACCTCCCGTCTTGGCCTTACGAGAGGCCCGAGAAAAGATGCCTTTTATCTCGACCCTCGAGGGAGATGAGAAGGGACGCCTTTCGAGAGCCTTTCATTTCGACCTTTGAGAGAGATGAGAAGGGATGTCTTTCGTATCAGCATTCGAGGGAGATGAGAAGTTGGTGCGTCTGAGTTGAATCGGTGTGTAGTTTGCTTGAGACACATGTCAGCCGGTTAAATATGATTAATAGTTACCTATATCTATAGCACAAGAATGACCCCATTTCTGTGAAGGGGTAGTGTATAGTTTGATGATGAAGAAGGAAGAGGCGGAGAAGAAATTTGAGAAGCATCTGAGGCTTGTGTCAATTGGGCATCAATATAGAGGGTATTTTGATGATAATGCGGTTGCTATGAAGATTTTTGGGCACATGGAGGAGATAGGAGAATTGAAGGATCGAATATGTGATATTTTTATATTTAACGGATCATACTTTATTTGGTTCAACTTTAGTAGATGATGATCTATGATGTTAGTCCAACTCTTAAACTTTCTTAGAGCCACTATGATCGAGAGCATGAATTTATTTTCTCTTGTATATGCCAAAAATGAAAAAGAGATGTAAACTTAAACATAACATTTACACTTTAAGTATAACATGTATGCCCATAAGTATGATAAGTTAACATCTAACAATAATCTTCAACAGTTATGACTTAAACTTACATGTACACTATAAGTTTAATATATATTTCTTACAGTTAACAACTAAGTGAAAAGCTTAACATGAAAACTTTAAACTTAACATATACACTATAAGTTTAACATGTATTTTCTTATAGTCAACAACTAATTAAAAACCTTAACATGAAAACTTTAAACTTAACGTGTACACTATAAACTTTTAAATAATTTCTTTGTTTGATTTGTTTATTTTTGCAATTTCTGAAACTTGTAAGGTATTTTACAAAAATTTTAGGGCATTTTTTACTTTCTTAAATTTTAGGTTGGACGAAATCTAGTGTGAATAACTGTTTGAAAAGTTAAATGGGGTGATTGTACAAGTTGATTATAAACTACAAAGGACTAGTTGTGAATCTTACCAAATTAGTATTAATTTTACTTGTTGTATGTTAAGTTTATAGCATAAATGTTGATTAATAGATTACATACTATATCTTAATAGATTACTGTTAAGTTTCAGACTTAGGTGCTAATTTATTAGCCAACTGATGTTGTAAACTCTAGATCCTGACTTTATTTGATTGATTTGTTTGTGGATTCGGATCCTCTCCTAATGAAAAGCTCATAATATCTCCTATTAAGGAGACCCTACCCTTTCATTTTCATCATGACCTTTCATTTTTGAAAAATTCTTTAAGGACCCAAAATATGGGGCCGATAGGGGGGACAAGTGATGTGTCTCCCTCCTATTGGATAATGAGTTGGTCATCATTAATGATGGCCAACTCATTATCCAATAGAAAGGGGACACCTCACTTGTCCCCTTTATTGGTCCCATATTTTGAGTCCCTGTAGCAAAGCTCTTCATTTTTCCCACCTATCCTTGTGGGCCCCCCTCCCAACTCTTCACAATTCTTCATTAGAAAATATTAGGATGAAGAGAGAATCCCAATTCCTAATTCATATATGTTACATCGAACTCTTAAACTTAACAAGTAAATGATATATTTAACATGTTCTTATTTAAAATAACTGCTTATTCATATGGTTGAATACTTTTTTGTAAGTTTAGACTATAATGCAAATTTAAACATCTTTAACTGTCTACGAATAAGTTTAACATACAATCTTTAACTTTAACGTACAACATATAAATTAACAGTCAAGCTTTATAGTTATAACATGCAATAGTGACGATCAATTCATGTAAAACAACATTATGGCCTTCAGATACAAAAGCATCTAAAATTTTAATAATATTTGAAGGTTCATAATTTGTCACTCAACATTAAAACACACCAAGATAATGCACTCAAACCAAAAGAGTAAATTTGATCATCATCTTATTTCTTTTATTATTCCAAAATAACTTCAATTGATCCTTAATTAGTAATCACACATTGGAGATAAACACAGGCTTCCTTTTCTCTGTCTTAACCTGACCGCCTCTCTCAAGTCATTCGAGATCGTCAACACCCTCCTTCTACGTAGCTACATCGAAAAAAAAAAAAGAGCGGCTTCAAATCTTTTGCATATGAAAACCCCACCTCATCACCTTCACGAAGACACCAATAACTTCCACCTCTTCAGTTTTAGATTGGACAAGAACCCATTAATTTGTTCCCCAAAATATTTAAAAAAAAAGAACCCAATAAAATAAAATCTCATCTTTCACCTCAAAACTCACATAAATAACCTAAAGAAACCCCAAACCTTAGATCAGTGAAAAATAAAGACTCCTTCAGTTGAAGAACTCTTGAAGGAGACATCGAGGTTGGTGCCGCTGGCGACAACGACAACACTGATGGTACGAAGGCAAGGGTCCTGCTCGATGTCGCCGAAGATGACGGTGCCATTGGCTGTAAGGCGGTGGAGTGAAGGTTTTGACGGTGGAGGAGGAGAGGAGGGAGAGGGCAGAGGTAGTCGGTGAAGAAGGGGAGCGAGAGGCAATGCTTTGGGGGAGGGCTAAGATTTTTTGATCTATTTTGCGAGGGTCTGAGATTTTTCAAGATTTTTGGGGAGGGGAGGGGTAGTTTAGGGCTTGTTTAGATTGAGGGGAATAAGAGAGAAGGAAAGTTAGGGGGACCATTCATCTTGTTTGGGAACATTTACGCCTCGTTTGGTACGTGGGAATGGACACACTTGGGAATGAAATAGAAGAAGGAATGAAATGGATTGCATGTGGGAATGGAATGGTCATTCTCATTCTCTTGTTTGGGTGCGTTCGTAGAATGAAGCTAGAATGGAAATCTCATTCCCATTCCCATGTTTGGTATCACTAGTACACAAGTGAGAATGAAATCTCATTTTCTAATAATGCCCTTACAACAACATAGATTTTTAATAAGATAAAAAATAAACATTAATGATAATAACTAAATAATTTTATATACGCATATGTTATATTAATCTAGGGATGTGTTATACTAATGCTCGTGTTATCCATCAGGTGTATGTTTCGTTTATATTTTTTAAACAATACTCGATATTTCTTAGTCTTAAAATTAAAGAAAAATAAAAAAAAAGATTATCGTATCTTTCATAGGTCCAGAAAAAAAGAATGATATCCACAATCCACAGTTCTAGATATATAAATTAACTTATTTGATAAAGTATCAAAATCACTCAATTCATAATAGCAAAAATCCATAAAACAATACCAACTAAAATAATAAGTTTCGAAATAGCAAAATGATATACTAGCCTAAATTGTCAATCTAAAATTGCCCACTTGCATAGCGCCTCACCCAAACATTCTTTATTATTAATATGGATATAATTGAAAAATACCTAACTAGTTTTTGATTCTCACTTGAATGGGAATGACCATTCCTTATCTTCTCACTTGGAATGCTCATTCCCACAAATAGTGGGAATGATCATTCCTAGGGAATGGTCATTCCAACATCTAAAATATAGGTGTGTTTGGTATGAGGGAATGAGAAGTGGGAATTGCATTCCATTCCTCCTCATTCCCGCGTACCAAACGAGGCGTTAGGAGATGAAGTTACTCACCTTAGGGCCTGTTTGGATTTGTAAGGGGTGAAGGGAAGTTAAGGGAAACTGAGTGAAGGGAATGGAAGGGAAGAGAAGGGAATTCCCTTCCCCTTGGTTACACCCCAATTTGGGGGTAACAATTTTTATACTATTAGGGGTGAACCAAGGGGAACTAGGGTGAATTAACTTCACCTCCTAAGTGTTCCCAAACAAGGTGAATGGAGGTGAATGGTTCCCCTAACTTCCCTTCACCCTCATTCCCCTCAATCCAAACAAGTCTCCCCTTGGTTCACCCTTTAATAGTATAAAAATTGTTAACCCCCAAATTAGGGTGTAACCAATGGGAAGGAAACTCCTTTCCCTTCCCTTCCCTTCTCTCACCTAGTTTCCATTAACTTCTCTTAACCCCATTGTAATCCAAACACACCCTTAGAATTTTGGGTGAAATACCGTATACTAAGGGGTTGTTTGTTTCAAATCCTATAATTTTAGGATATGGATTTCACCATGGGATTTGAAATTCATATGTAATTTGTTATGAGTTGGGATTTCTAAAACTTTGTTTGTTTCAACAATATTTTGGGGTTTGTAATACTATAATTTGTAATATTTTTGTTTGTTTTAAACTTTTTAGAATTTAAAATCCATAATTTGTATAAAGCTTTTGAAATCCACCCCACATCCCACATGAAAAATAGGATTTTACAAATCCTTAAATATATTACTTTTTTATTATTTGGGGATTTAATATCCTAAAACTTATTTTGAAACAAACAAGTTTTATGGAATTCTAAAACCCCAAAAAACCTCTTTTTACATCCCAAAACTTGTTTTATGGAATTCTAAAACCCCAAAAAACCTCTTTTTACATCCCAAAACTTGAAATCCACACCATATCCTCAAAAAATGAAACAAACACCCTGTAATTGTATGCTGCTTATGTGCAAGGGCCTTATCACATTTAATTTGAATATTTGAGGCTTTTGGGCATATGAAATGATATTAAGGGGTGAGTCACATGGTTCTTTCAATTCTGCGGCGTTGACACAATTTTTCTTTATCCCTATGCATTTTGAAACAGATTATTATTCATTTACATTATTTACGCAAACATGCTTTTGCATCTATCAATATATAAGAGGGTTATTTGGAAATGGACCCTATGTGGTATTGCTGTTTTGAACTTAGTATCATTGTAGTTTCATTGTTACAGAAGACCATCTGGATTAAATATTGTTCACACTTTTACCCTCCGCAAAATTTTGGAAGATATTCGTAGATTAAATTAGAGCCCATATGAGGGTAAAAGTGTCATAAAATTCAAAAAAGAAATCCTTAAAATGTATATCAAAATAATTGCTGAAGAGCCTTTGCATTGCGAGTGCACACTTGCAAGGGCAATGATTGTTGAATCCTGGAGGGTCACCACCATGATCTTATTGTACCAATAGGTATTCTGAGAACAGTGTGATCTATTCTTAAGGACAATGCTAATAGATTATCCATCTCATTCCCATTTATTGTCCAAATGCAGATTTTTAAAGACGTTAATTTGAAAGGAAAAAAAAACCTCAATTCTTTAAGTTACACTGAAAGATGGCTAGATAGCAGTTAAATACCTTATAGTTTCACTCACTTTGCACTTACATATCCTCACTTATTTTTTATAATATTTATATATCCCAAGTTGTTTAAAAATAGCAAGTTAGTACTCTCTATTTATGAGAACATGAAAATTCTCACCCTAATATTTTCATATGACACTTTGAAACAGTTAGCTCGTGAGTGTCATATTGGAATACTAAGGTGAAAATTACAGTTTTGCATAATAGAGGGTAATAATTTGGCAATTTTGAATAACGTAGGGTATATAAATGTCATGAAAAACAAGTGACGATATATAAGTGCAGAGTCTATATGGTATTTAACTGCTAATTTTATCACCGGTGGTTGATAATCAGTTTTTGAGGTGGGATGAGTTTTAATGGGTTAGGGGAGAAAGTCATTATAAATTTTAAAAGGGCTAAAGAAAATGACATATGCAGAAAAAATAAAAAATAACAGTGGTAAATTCACTAAAGCTTAAGAAATTTAAATCTAATAAGAACCTAAAAGTACTGAAGTACTTCTTTAAAATATAAATTTTCAGGATTAGTTTTGAAGTAAAAAACAATTGGAGGGTCTATTTTGGCTAATACTTAATCAGGTAATTTGCCTATACACCCTCAAATCTTTCATAAATGCATATTTTCTCCTCAAATCTTCATATTGCAAATATAACCCCCAAATCTTCCATAATTGCATATTTTTCCCTCTAAGTAATAATAATTGCCAATGTACCTCCCAAATCTTCCATAATTGCATATTAACCCCCCCAAATCCTCATAATTGCCCTCACCCACCACATTGGAGCCTTTCCTCTTGATAAACATCACCTGGGGGGTATTTTAGGTATTTTTAAAATTTTATCTAACAACTTAACAAAATAATAGAGTATAATGGCAATTCTGAGGATTTGGGGATGAGATATGCAATAAAGAAGCTTAGAGGGGTATTACTAATTATGAATAAGTGGGGGTTAAATGGGCAATTAAGAAAGATTTGGGAGTTTATTGGCAATTATGAAGATTTGGGGGGAGGCGGGGAGGGGGTATATATGCAACTATGGAAGATTTGGGGCGTATATACCAAATAACCCTACTTGTATTGAGAAACCTTACAAATTACCTTATTATTTATTTTCTACTTATTTTGTTAGAAGGCAAAGTAGTCTTTTCACGTAAGTGAATCTCCTTGTGAATCTCCTTGTAAGTGCCCGAATTAGAAGATTCCAACCTATATGTTTTTTCCTGCTTATAAGAAAGTAAGTAAATAAGTAATGCTTTACAAAATATGATATTAGATCCTTATTGGTAAAAACTTACTTATAAATTAAAATAAGTAGGTTACCAAACATGTTTAGAAAAAAAAACGGTTTAATTGGATTATTGATCGCTGTATTTATCTCATAATTGGATGTTCATACCTATATTTTAATTGTTCTGATGACCAGTCATGTAATTAAATGCTAATTGGACCGCTAGCTACTTTAAACATTTTTTGTCGATTTATGTTGTAAATTTTCTTTTAATTTTAAGCAATACAACTTGCTCAATTTGTCACAAATTAATATTTTCAATAACAAAATGACAACTATAATGTAATTGCCCAATATAAGCTGCCAAATGTGTCATAAATTTTCATTTTCATACATGATCAAGATATTACACATAAGAATAACCATTATATTAAATGATCCAAGAGTTGTCACATAACCGAAATGTGTTATATCAGTTGACAGAAAATATTAGAAGTGGTTAGCGTCTAATTAGTATTTAATTGGATGACTAATCATTGAAGCAATTTAAACATATGTATGAATATCCAACTATGAGATAAATACAACAACTAACAATCCAACTAATACAAAAAAAAAAAAAAGAAGCTTGGATAGATAACATAATTATTTGATCTGTGGAGTAACTTCAGTTTCAGTTTTACCCATTATCCAATGTCTCATTGTAGTTTTTTATTTTCACATTTCCATAGAAGTTCAGCGAAACCCTATGCGACCCTCCCTCCTCAATCAACAGTGACTTCCACAGGAGAAAAAAAGAGAAAAAAGAGAAGGGATAAAAAGGAAGAAGAAACTCTATAATCATTCTCTTGACCCAAGCTCTCGTTTTTTTTGGCTTATGCTCTTTAAAACCCTTTTCCTCTTCTTCTTCCTCTCTCTGTAACTCCCCACGCTGCAGAGACCACAGCAAGCTGGCTGCTGCTTTCTGTTGCTATCCAGCACTAAAGATTCCTTCTGTAATATGCCAAATGGACCCTTGATGCCCTTGAAAAGCCCCTTAGAGATGCTCTGCTCCATTGTCCCCCATGGCTTGGTGAATTCTCTTTTCTTCTCTCCTCTGCAATTTCTTCTAAAGATTGGATTTTTAAGCTGCCCATGTTGTTAGATTTGGGCGAAATGTGTCATTGTTGAAAGGGTCTGTAGCTGCTACCTTTCCTTTCTTTTTACCTCTTCTATGAATTGTGATTTTTGAGAAAGCAACGGGAATGGGTTTGATTTTTGTTGCTTCAGCTTCGATCTTTGTCTGCTATTATAAAAAGTTCCCCTTCTGGATACTTAAATTAATTTATGGGCCTCTTCATCTCCTTCATGCTATGAATCTTGAAAGACTGATATTTTGTGGTGTCCATTTGATTGCTTTCCTTTTTCTTTACTCAATTGTTTTGAGGTTGGAATTATATTTTTTTGACAATCCATTGCCTCCCGTGGACATTCTGGGTTTCTTCCTCTTATTCCTTCCAATTATCCTGAAGGATGGTATTTTTTTAGCTGCTCAGTTGAGTCAAATGTGTGAAATCAGTGATATTATAGTTGGGAAATTGAATTAATTGTGCTTGTTCTTTGTTTAATCGGTTTTCATAATTGGTACACGTTCCGATGAAAAAAAAAAGCTTGCACCTTAGTAGGTTGTATTTGAGTTACTTGCTGTACTCAACTAACTTCTGCGCTGTATCACCTCTCATTTCTTGGTGAATTTAATGTTCTACAATCCATTAGTCCTCTGAAGATATGCATTTTCTGCTGTCTAATTGGTCCAATGTTATATGAACCCATGAAAAGTTGTGTGAAGAAGAAAGGCTTGGTTTACAAGTGACTGGGTATATAAAATCTTTGTGCCATCCTCTTTTTAATGAAGAAAAATATCTTGATAACAACTTCTTTAAATACAGAACGTTTCTTATGTGTGAAACTTTCCATGCATATCTTGTAAGTGATGGGTGATAAATAATTCAATAAAAGAAGAAAAAGGCTTCTCATTCTCTAATTATGTTTCCTACCTTCATGAATATACTACGCTTAAATATATTCATTCTCTTATTAGATTTACTACCTTCATGAATTCTTTTGCTTGAAAGTTGAAACTGTTAAGGATGTGAAATATTCATATATCTACTAATTCTGAAGATATTACGAAGTCCAATGATGTGGAGATATCAGGTTCAAGTATGTGCTATGGTCTTTGTTCGGAAAAGGAAAAAAACCTTGAGATGAGTGGAACATATTATTCACATCTTGAAGATGGCAGTTAAGGAAGTAATGTACATGAGAACTAGAATAAATTTTGAGGCCTCACATTGAATTATGTATGTATGTATGTATTCGCATGATACTTTTATCTTTCTAAATGTAGTTTTATTTTACTACTAAAGTAGTTGAGGCGTGACAAGCGCTACTGAAGGTATAGAGGAGGAGGACTATATGGAAATTATCCTTTCATTTATACATAAGAAGCATACATCTTCATCTCCTTCTTTTATTTTTGTCTGAAACACAAATTTTCAGAAAGCAATTGGTTACAGGTTTCTTTTATTTGTTATTTTATTTCTTTGTAGGCTTCACTACCTAAAACCTATATACTGAGCATTACAAGAGTTAGGCACTTAAAATACAGGCGTAACATATTATAAATATGAAGAGGCACTCTGACATCAGAAGGGATCGGTCAGGGTCAGCGCAATCAGAAGAATCAGCGTTGGATATGGAAAAAAACTTGTGCGGTTGCCCGAATCTTCCTTGTAGTCCTTCTCTCCAACCATTTGCATCAGCTGGTCAGCACTCTGAAAGTAATGCTGCATATTTTTCATGGCCTACCTCTACTCTATTGCTCGGTGCTTATACCTGCCATTCTTGTTTTTGTTGCAAGGAAAGTTCACCGAAAATGGCTCAACAACATCCAATGCTTGCCCATTGCCCTAGAGGTATCAAACTATTTGTGTTCAATTTTAGGATAAATTAAAAAAAACCTAAGATCTTAAAAGTGACACTTTACCCTCCACCCTCTTCGGTTTGGACGCAGACAGTCATCACTCTTTGTATGTAATCATTAAATTTTAATACAATCATATATGTATATTTGTATGGGAGTACATAAGATCATCCATGATGGTATTCTTATCCTACAAGTTAATTTATACAAACTGAAAAAGGCGGGTTGAGGGGTGGGGGTGGACCTTAGGAGGGTTAGGGTGGGGGTGGACCTTAGGAGGGTATTTTCTAAATCATGGAAACTTCAGGGAAATTATCTGCAATTAACCCTTAATTCTAGTCCTAAAGGGTAGGCCATTTTCAATTTCTATCAAACATTTGATTGCATAAATGGTGATGGACTAAAATAGAACAGGAAAAAGAAGCAAGCAAAAGAATATAAGCGGGGAAACTTATTATAATAAATTTGAATTTGGAATATTTGCCTGAAACTTGTTTTTCCAATTTCTTTCTGTCACCAAATATTCAAGTTTGCAAAATTGTCACCATTTCTTTTCCCTTTGACACTAGCAGAACTCATGGTTACTAATTTATTATGCTTCTTTAGTCATTTTATCATATATTTGATTCATGAATAGGGACCGGGGGGTGTATGGTGTGATGTAGATGTGGTTGAATTCTCATATTATGGGGCACCAACACCGACTCCAAAGGAACAACTGTACACTGAGCTTGTGGATGGCTTGCGAGGGAGTGATCCATGTATAGGTTCAGGTTCTCAGGTAATTTCTGACTTCATACAGAAAACATATCCTTTTTTTTTGTTATTTAGATGAGTGATCAATGCTATTCTTACTGTAGATGTTTTATTAGTTCAAACTATTAGTTAGTTGCAATTTAAGATGGTCTGGTTTTATGTGCTGATGATTGTTATATCAGTAGCTAATGACATATAATTTGTTATGCTTATTCAATTTCTGTAGTGCCAGTTTTCTTAATACGTGGTTTATAGAAGTAGAGCATTCTTTTGTAATAGAAAGGAGTCCAGTATATAGAGAAAGAAGAATTATAGTAGAAAGGAATGAAGAAAAATTTCAGTGAAGAGAATGATCAGAGACTTAAAAGTGAGAAATACAGATGTCAAATATGCAATAATTGTTCAAAAATCAATTGTCTTCTCCAATTGTATATGCAATCTGAAAAAGTAATAAAGAAGATGACAATGTAATATCTGAACCCAGTCCCAACTTAAATAAAGAAAACTTTCTCCTTACTGAATATGAACCAAGAGAGACAAAAATTCTACTTACTTTAAGCCTAAATATATAACATACCTAAATAAGAAAACCTATAGAATATTGTCAAATAAACTTAGGGTGGTCCGATATTTTTTCAATGGACTCCTCTTTGCAATATATCTCCGACATAAGTTGAGTTAGTGTGGAGCCCAGCTGAGCCCATCAATGCTCAAGCCTTTTCAATTATTTTCTAAATTTAAAATTTTGATCAAGCTTCAAATGCTCAAGCTGAAGGCTAGTTAGTTTGTAACTTTGTATAGAATGTCACTTACCTTTCTGGTGATATTCTAGTTTATGGTCATACAAGGAAGGAACAAAATTAGATTTCTCTAACTAGTAAAAAACACAGAAGAAATAACTGGATAAATTTTACTATTGAACTTCCATTTTGTTAATATAGACCAAGTAGTCAAAAGATATCACATTTTCATCAAGAGGATGATTCTACTAATGCCAGATGTTTCTTACTAGTTTGTGCTGAATTCAGCTGCATGACGTTGACATGTTATGGTTCATCTGTTAAATAATCTCACATTTTATCTACGAAAATAGTGTGAAACAAGATTCTCATCTTCCTTCTGTATGCCATGAATTAAATTTGTGGCCAATCTTTTAGGCTGTGATGCAAACCATCACCTATGTTTCATTACCATGATCATATAGGCACAGATAGCTGTTTCATATTATGTTTAACTGATGGATATTTGCTACTTTGTAAAGCCTTTAACAGCTGTACAATGTGGGCATGGATACATAAGTTCTCTTCCCAGTGATTTAGACCAACTAAGCCTTAAAACATCTTTATATCAATGAATATACCATCAGTACTGTCAATAGTATGCGATCTAGACATTTGGTTGCTTTTTTTCTTTCTTAATTTTAGCAATAGAACTCGTTTAGATTTTACTCTTTTTAACTTTGCTCTTAATTCTAGGTGGCTAGTCAAGAAACTTATGGAACTTTAGGTGCTATTGTCAGGAGTCGAACAGGAAACAAACAGATTGGTTTTCTTACAAATAGGCATGTTGCAGTTGATTTAGATTATCCTAACCAGAAGATGTTTCATCCTTTGCCATCCAATCTTGGACCTGGAGTTTATCTCGGCGCTGTGGAAAGGGCAACTTCTTTTATTACAGATGACCTTTGGTATGGGATATATGCTGGTTCAAACCCAGGTAGCGTTCTGTACTAAAGGTTGCTTCCTTCTTAGTCTGTTATTTTTCCTTAAATAAGAGTTCTTTGGTCTATAATAGTTTCATACTGAAGCAAAAAGGTGCCATATGGTAATTGGAACCAAAATAAAGGATGAGCCAAATACTTTTCGAAACTGAGCTTACAAGCCTATGGTTCCTTTCTGTATTTTGGCATCGACTGAGTTTTAGTTTTTTCTGAAGTAAATTGTATCGTGATATGGTAATTCATGCATGATCAGTTACATCTATTTCTTTTAAGGTGCTGTAGTTTAAAAGAAAGCATGTCAAGTGGTGACATTTAAAGGGCAGTTTGTGTTGGATTCTATTATATTTTATTTTGAGGTGATAAACTGTTTTTCTTTTCTCTCTCCCCTTTTTTTTGGGTGGAGGTGGTTTTTGTTTTTTGTTGTGTTGTTTTTTTTGGGAGATTTGGGGGGGGGGGGGGGGGG